TTTTGGGAAGCACACTTGGTAAATATTTACAACTACATCATAAAACAAAGAACTCATACCCATTAGACAGCATGTTTTTATGATATATTTAGTGTCTTCATGTCAACTGCCTCTGTCAAAATGAGTTGTATTTGGAAGCAGGTCATATGTAAGTCTCATGAATTTTCATAATAGGAGAGATCTGGAATTTTTCGTGTTTGCCTGTATGTTTAATTTCTACTAGTGTTGTCATTTATTTTGGTGGGAGCTGGACCAATTTATATGTAATTACAGAGTCTGCTATATAACCACAAATAACTGGTCCCACGTTCCTGATTTATTACAGCAGAGTTCTGGTTCCCCTCATGAACTGCCATACGGACATTTCCCTTTATGCATCTTGGCTTTAGATGAGCTGTTCCATGAATACTTGAAAAAGAAATTAATGCTCTGACGCCTCTGCATAAACTTTAGAATAGCTGTGGAAATACTTGAAATCCTGCAAGAAACTTTAACTCATTAACGCCATAAATTATCCTGGTTAGAATACATTTTAAACCACCTATGAACACCTCATTGAGTTTAAAAATCATCAAATCTTGGAGAAAAAAAACCAAAATTCCTATTTTTTTATTTTTATCGCAGACCCATCACCTTAATTTTACTTATAGATATTTAATTTATTTGATGATACAGTGGCATATTCTTTTACATTCTGTGTCTATTAGGAGGTTATTGAATGCAAGAGTCCTATTGATTATTGAACATGTGTCTTTTATTTTTATTCTACTCCAATAATTTTGAGAAATGTAAAGTTTAATAGAATAAGCCTTCTGTGTGTAAAAGTCAACTGGTAGACCTGTAACCCAGTTGAGCAAACTTAGAGCAATCTAAGTTACTCTCAAATGTGTCAGAGATTTTAAATATATATTATGAGAAAATAAGGAAATAAGCTTCAGATAAAACACCAAGTTTCCTCTAGGGCGAACTGTTTGCTTTCCTGTTCTGCTAGAATGAGGTCTATTGATGGCTTGGCTTAAATTATGGGCTTTGGAGTCAGAAAATGCTGGAATTAAATCCTTCCCCTGCCATTTTCTAGCTGTGTGGCTTTAGGCACGTAACCTCTATAATTTTCATTATCCTCAGTTTTAAAGTGAATACAAAATGACTACTTCACAGGGTTGATGCAAATATTAGAGCCACGTGTAATGTATTTCTGATGTACAGTCTGACGCGGAGACACAGACTGTCATGTTGGAGACACGTAGGTTAATGACCAGAACACACTTGCTCCTTTGGAAGTCGGCCATGTGAACTCTTCTCCTAAAATCTTTCCTGTCTCTGAAAAGTTTTGACATAATGCAGGGAGGGAAAAAAGAGTGTGGTTAATCCACAAGCCAGAAGAATTTTCAAACAGTAAGCCAAAGACCAAAAGCACAAATTAGCTGGGTGCACATTAGAAATTCAGATTCCAGGGCCCCACCTACAGATTTAGTACACAAGGTACAGGATCTAGAAATCTGTGTTTCTCAACAGCACCTCGAGTAATTCTGACCTACACTAACGTTCAGAATCTATAAGGGAAGGCATAAGCATTCAACTAACAGAATTATTTTTTTTGAAAGAGATATTTCAATCCATGCATTTCTTTTTGAATTGTAATGGTATGAAAAAAATCTCCACAGCAAATTAAGGAATGGCTCCTAGGCAAAGAGAACACATTTGAAATGTGATAGTAAGCATAGGACTTTTCGTTTATAAGCTAATATAACATCAATGCCATGCCTCATTCACAAACATTCTGAAAAAATTCCCATTAAATATTAATTTCCACAGCAGAATCTTTGTTATGTATTGAAAAAAATTACAAGTGGAGCAAAACAATACAAATATTATTGTTCAATGTAATATATTTAACTAATAGTAAAGGTACATATTTTTCCAATGACATTGATACTGAAGTTATGTAAGGTGCCAGAGCCCTAGCACATGTTTCTGCCAGCTCTGTCTCTGTACATACTTCCTGTGTCTACAAACTGCTTTATTTACTGATCATAAAATTAACTCATGCTCATTAAAAAAATCCATGTATGACTGAAACGTGCTAAAAATCCCCTATTCCCTGCTTCACAATTTTCCTCACTTTTTGTAAGAAAAAAACTGTTTAAAATTTTGAATATGCCAGGATATTTTTATTATGTATACAAACTAAAATCTTACTTTTTCTTTATGTTCTCAAAATTCAAATAAATCATAAATGGATCAGATTAAATGTGAAAGGTTGTTATTTGTAGATCCCCCCATTCCACTTACCTGCCTGTTGCCACTATCACTATGCATCTTTTCTCCCAATCCCTGAAGATGCTGAGGTCGTTGCAGTGGTATCTATCTGAATCTATGAACTTCCATTAATTTTGAAAATATGTGAAATCTTCTGGAGGGTTATCTAATTCATCATCCAGCTGTTCACTGCCAGAAATCCTAATTAGAGGGTGTATTAGCCAGTAGCACCCAGGAAAACAGAACCAGGAGAGGGTTTGATTAGGATTGAGTATCTGTAGATCAGGTTCTCAACTGTGGATGCACATTACCCTGATTTGGAGAGTCTGTAAACACACACACACACACACACACACACACGCGCGCGCGCGCGACCAGTGTATGAAATTTTGACCAGTGAAATAGAATGGAACTTTCTGGAATGGTCTGGTTATAAGGCCAAATATCAGTATAAATAGGTGTCCACATGTTCTCCTATTTGTGTCCTGGGAACAGTACCTAGGAATGTGGGCCTGATAGGTTGGGCGCTTGATGGCTATCCTTGTCATGGGAGATTCAGCGCATACTTGCGCATTTGCATTTGACATGTTTTGAGAGGTCCTGCAATTGAGAAATGTGTCGAACTTTGCCATGTTTTATTTTTGAGTCCAGTCTTTCCCAAACATACACATCCCACAAACATTTTACTGAGAACCACTTTGAACCAAGCCACGTTCTAGGCACTATGCATGGAGGCAGTAAAGGTCCTTGCTTTAATGGAGCTTGTCTTCTGGTAGGATAAAATACATGAACAAACAGTAATCACAGAAAAGAAGACTCCCCAATCATGAGGAGTGAAGAAAATAAAACAGGAAGGTAAGGTACGGGGGTGCCAGGAACACTACTACAGGAGCTGTGGTCCGAAAGGGCCTGTGTTCGGTGGTAATATTTTGACAAGAGGAGCTGTTGTGTAAAGCTTCCAAGGGGAAGAACTTTTGGAGTTGAATGGACGTCTGGTGCAAAGGCCCTGAGTTCAGGGAGATCTGGTATGGTTACAGCATAACGGAGGATGTTGCCAAATACTGTGGAAGTTTGATAAAGAGTTTGGATTGGGTCTAAGTGGGAAAGGAAGCAGTGGGATGATGCGGTTTAATTTACCTTTAAAAATCTGCTTGCTCAGAGGGCTAGAGATTAGGGATGGGGGTGCGGATGGTGACAGGGAATGGAAGAATAAAAAAGATGAGGAAGAGGCCTTTGAGATAGTTCTGGTGAGATAATGCTTTGTTGGACTGGGTGGTCATAGCTGAGATGAAGAGATGCCCTGATTCAGGGTCTAATTTGCAAGTGTCCCCGCAGAACTGCCTGTGGTGTGTGAGCCTGGGAATTGGATGTATGGGGTGTTGATGGGGTGGCGGCAGGAGGTAGGGAATTGGCTGATGAGGAAAATTAAGTCAAATTAATTTGACTAATGAAACACCCAACCCCCGCTTTCAAAAAATGTATTAAAAATATTTTGGTAATTGCTGGTTAAGGGATATTTGTGAAGTAGAAATAAAAGTAGGCAAATGAGGAGATTCTCTGGGTATTTCATATTCCTAATGCCTCTGCTTTTGTCTTATGTAATCTACATGAACTTGACCTTATTTGTTGATCCAGTCATGGTTAACAGGGCCTCATAAGCCTGAATAGATAGTAGCAGTAGCCCTTATTTACTCCTACATATGCTGATTGTTACAGTTAAAAAGAAAGAAAGCAGGAGGTGGAGGAGCAAGGGGAGAAAGAGAAGAAGAAATAAAAATTAAATATAAATTACTGAGAACAGCTTCTGTTTCACCCTAACCTTTCCATATATGAAGCCTTCCTGTATGTCGTGTGGGAGGAAATAAAAGCTACTGGACGTCAGGCACTATAATATGTGGGTTTTGCAGGGGGGCCATGTGTTGGATGGATGCATCCTGATGTTGTGGAAGGAACTTAGCTCCTGATCTTGCCAGACGATAGCTTTACAAACACCAGAGGGTCTTTTTTTATCAACCTCCTGACCTTAAATTTCTTCATCTGCAATTTGTGCTAGGTTAGCATCATTTCTGAGGTCTTTCTAGCTTTTAAATTCTAGAGTCTGTAAGTCTAATTATAGGTCCTTTCAAGTTGTTAGTGCTTCCAATTTCCCTTAACAACTTTTTTAATAACAGGTGCTTTTATTTTATTATTTTTTTATTGACTAAATCTGGTGTGTGACAGTGTTAATGTGGGGATCTGGCTATGAGGTTTCACAGCCCTGTTACCAGAGTGTAGTCGCGACTCGAACATTTTGTTTGTATTAATGAATAAGATGAGAAAGTGAAACAACAGGAACGTGTCATAACTTCTTACTCATCAATGATGTGAGCAAATCCTTTGATGAATCAGATCCTGGTTTTGGAATACTGAAAGATTGTCTCAATCTTTGGGGCTCATAATGTAAATAACTTTTGTTTAATTTGTACCTTTTAGAAACAAACTTTATTGAGGGTATCATAGTGGAAAGCTGGCTTAATGGGGAGGATGGGATTTAAACTACTCTTAACGTTAAGAAAAACTGAGGCAATACTAACATCTGTACATGCAAATATATTACAGCATAAATGTTCATGTAACTTTCTTAAAGGGGGCCATTTTATAGTAAATAAGCCCATCAAACATCGTTCATTGACATCATAGGTGACAAGATGACACAGATATTCTCTAGACACACTGATTCCCTTCTTTCCCTTTTCTTTTAGGGTTTTCCAGGGAATGCAAATGCAGACAGTGTTGTGTACTACAGACTCCAGCCTTCTATCAAAGCCAGATTTCTGCGCTTCATCCCTTTAGAATGGAACCCCAAGGGCAGAATCGGAATGCGGATAGAGGCATTCGGATGTGCATATAGTAAGTGTTTGTTTACCCAAAGCACTGAAACAAATAGAAATCAAAGGAGGTGTTTTAAAAGCCAACCTACATACTGAAATTGACTTTATAGTTAGAGAAAGAGGTATAAAACAGGAATGATTTTTGCAGAAAGCTTTTTTTTTTTTTGGTGCCCATACATGTCAATATTAACTTAGCATTTAGCTTTTATATTTTAAGTCAGAAATGGAACATTTAATAGATAGATCCATATATAGATAGATACAGATGTGTGTATAGACATATGTGAGTCCATTTATCCAAATCTAGTATTATTGACTAGACTCTTTCAAATATTTGAACTTTCCCTCATGGACTATATTTGATGATGTTTCATTTAGGCACCCTGAATTTAATAAAAGAGACAGTGTTCCATTTAGTGTAACCAATCACCTCTTAGAAGACCAAAGAATGTTCTAAAAATAATATGCTATGTACCTCACTTATAAACATGCTATGCCCCTCGGCATAAATTCATAAAAAGGGTGAAGACCTCTGCCAAAATATAAAATGTGTTTGAAATACTGTCACATAAAGAAAGATAGAAACCGCAGATTTCACTTAGTCTCCTTTTAATGAAGCATTTTATTATATCTTTTTGTGGGGCAGGGGCCCAGGAGTTATTGATAGTCCACCTCAAGCCACACCATCCTGCCTAGATGGTTCTTTTATTATAGAATGAGTTAGTTAACATGATCCACATTTGTCTGATGAGCAGCCTGAGGTTTAGAGAGATACAGTAATTTGCACAGCATCTCACAACTAGTACCTGGAAGATTCTGGAAAAGAACCCAGGAGTTTCATTTCCACTACATCAGTATTCCTCTGGTAAACGTTCATTTTTTAGCTACTAAAGCTTTTTTCAGACATAACCGCTTTGTGATGTAAGTCAAGTTAGGTTCCAGTTTACTTACATGAAAGGAATGCATGCCTTACAGTGGGCGGGCCACCTGTTGAACTTGTCTACCCTGTCGGAGAGACCACGGCACACAGATCGCACGGGTCTCCTGTGTACTTGGTGGTTCCTAACGTGCCGCTTCCCCCGTCAGATATAATGGGTGCACCTTCTGTTCCCTTCAGGGCCTATGGGATAGTAGTAATAGTCTTAATATCAGTGGTAATAATAATTATATAATTTAATATAAAAATATGTTAAGTAATATAATCAGTAGTAATATATAATTACATATAATAATAAGAAATAATAGTACAAATTTTCATAATTTTTGGAATTTTTCTTGAGGGCTTAGTATATATCTGGCACTATATTACAAAGCTAGTTTATAATTCCAAAAACAGTCCAGATAAATATTATTAGAGAATATTCCATTCCCCCGCTTTGCAACTGAAGAAACTGAGGCTTCAGGAGGGTGACTTGCTGCATCCCCACGGGGAGGAAGTGGCAGAGGTGGGTGTGCAGCCGCGTCTGCCAGGCCCCAGAGGCCAAGCTCACGCTCACACTCCCTCCAGCTGGTGAACCGCGGCGATGAGCCACGGGCACCTTACTTCTCACCATCTGCCCAACTTACTGCTGGCCCTCTTGGCTTCGACAACTCAGCTTAGCTGTTCCTGGTATGTGTTAGCTCTTCCCTCCCAAACTTATCACACTTGAGTAAAATCATCCTCTAAAAAAAAAAAATCCCACCCAAATTGCAGTTCCAGAACAGAGTCCAGTCAGTCTTAACTCTTAAGTCTTTGCATGGGAGAGTTTAGCAAAGTCCATGGCACATGATGGACCATCAGCAAGACAAACTTCAAAAATGCTTCATATTTGTAGTTACATTCTCTACTTATTCAGAGCACCCACCTTGTAAAATATTTATTTATCACAGTATTAGACCAGTTAATAGCTAATGAGCACTTACTCTGTGTCAGACACGGTTTTTATAGACATTCTCATTTAATCCTAAAAGTTACCCATCTAATAGAGTCTTAGAAATATTAAGTTATTTTCTCAGTAGTACACACTTAATACACATTCAGTCTAGGATGTAAATTCAACATTAGTTTAATAAGACCATTTCTGCTATTTTTCAAAAACGAGAGCACCATGCATACCATCCCCATGGGGCTGCCGAGGGGCAGGCCCCTTTGAGTTCTCTGCTGCCATGTGCTTGATGGCAACTCGAGGCTCCTCCCACTGGCACTGGTCTGCAGTCCTGGGGAACGTTCTTTCTGTGTGACTTTCTGCTTCCTTGGAGGGAGCATATTGGCCATGTATTTAGTCAGTCTTTTCTCATTGACCCATGGTTGAATTAGCAGTACTAGAAATGCACATGATTTTAAACTCAAACATAAACACAAATGGTGAACTGATATGACAGGATTCAATGTAAAATGGCTATTGTATAATTTTGGATAAAAAAAGAGTAATAAACGTCATGGAAAAATACTCTCATCGATTACCTAAAATAACTTCAGAATCAGTTGAGTTTAAGTGCCTAGCAGGAATATACTTGACCAAATTGACTTTAATTCCTCAATTACACCCAAGTCACATTCATATTCTCTACCTGTTCATAGCGGCAGCCTTGCAGAATATTAATTTATGAAAGCATGATACTATATAGCCATCATTTATTGAATAGTAAATATGTGGAGATACTATCCTTTCTAGGTATTTTCTGATTTAGTCCTAACAACACAGTGTAGTAGGTGCATGAATCTTCCCATTGTATGAAGGAGTAAGAGGGGACAAGCAGAACTGTGTGCTGAATGAGCCCTGTGGTTTGCTCTGGGTTGCCTGGTGCAGAAATAGCAGGGACCACCCACCACCCCGTCCTCAGAAGGAGGAGCTGCAGGCACCACTCTCAGCACAAGGACCCAGCCGCAAGATTTTGCCTGCAACTCCCCTGAGTAGCTCAGATCCATGATCAGACTGGATTTTCTCTAGACATAGAAGGCAACTGTCCCACAACCCCTGTGAAGAGGAACAGTGGTTTGGGAGGCAGGGGGATGGCAGAGTCTCTCCCTGGAACACAGTCATGTGATGCCCATCCATTCTGACAACTACGTGAGCTTCACGTGAGCTTGGAAGGTCTGGTGGGCTGTGTACCACCCACCAGCCTGTGCGTCCACAACACCAGCACCATGTTACTAAGACGCTTGGCGGGGTTTGCCAGAGCCACTCTCTCAAGAGTGGTGTATATACCAAGGGGCTTTCAGTCTCCTGACCTGGGGGAAGGTGAACCTTAGAGAAATTAGGAACTTTGTCCAGGACTACACAACCTGGTAGATCAAGGATTGAAAATCAGATCTATTCCTTTCCGAAGTCTTGACAACTATATGAATCATATATACATTCACCATTTAAGTATTTACTGACACTTGCTGAAAGAGAACCCTACTAGGTATTGGGTGTAGGGAGAAACTCTAAAATAATATGCATATATTTTTTATAAATATGGGGATTATCATATATACTTTTTTTTGGCATCCTAATCCTAGGTTCATTCAACACAATCCTTTCACTCTCTACAACAAAGCACAAACACATCATATAAAATGCTGCATAGTTACAAAACTGCGAGCAGAAAATTTATAGTACTGACTGTTCAAAAAAAGCCAAAAAGCAATATACGCATTGCCAAGGTAACCTGCAAGACCACCATAAATAAAAGCCACAGCAGGGGGGTGCCCTGATAGCCTTGCACAGCTGACTCTCAACTGGCTCAGCAATTTCAGAGAGAGAGAAAGGGAGATTGGGGTGTAGGAGCATGTACATGAGTATGTGTAAAAACAGAACCATTTATGCCACTTGCATGCGGTGTGGGCATTGGAGATCACAAGAGGCAGTGTCATTAAAATTGTACAAACTCAATGCAAAATATTGTAGCGTGAGTGTAGGGTATGAGAATAAAGTGATCGATAAATTGAGATTCATGTATGAGTTTATAGCAATAGGTTCTGAAACTAAGATGGTATTTTCACATAGGAAGCTGGGAGGATAGTTCACATAGGAGAAGAGGTGGACCGTAGTCATGCCCAGGGACAAGGATTGCTTGGAGGATTTGTTTGTTTCTGAGAATGGGCACTTAGACCGAAGTGAAGGGTTGCAGATTGGAAGGTTAAGTCTGGAGGCAGCAACTCAGTTAGGAGTCTTCTGAGCTAGTTTGTGCAAGTGACTGTGGGGCCTCAAACCAGAGGACCAGCAGCAGGAGAGACGGATCTCCTGTCTTGAATCAGACTCCATGTATTGAGGATATTGAATCAGGAGAGCTTAGTGATTGTGTGCAAGGGACGCTGAGTCAATAGATTTGAACAACTGTCTGGAAGGTGGTGCTACTTACCGGGTGGCGGCATTGAGGATAAGTGAGTTCTGAAAAAGTACAGGAGAGAGAATCAACTCCATTGCTAACTCACAGAATTCACGTGTCTGTGAAATATGGAGGGTTGGGACTCTAAACTGTCTGGGTTGAAGATATATAATTGAAACCTATGCAAATATTATTGTTATTAAATCATAACATTCCCACTTACTGCATTACTGTTAATAATAAAGTATAAAGTGCTATGTGTAGACAGCTACTTGTGTCTTTGAAAAGCAGAAACATGTTTCTATCATAAGGAAAGCAGGTCCTTTGTACTATTTTTCAGGTAAGGTGCATTTTTATGCCAGGCCCCCTTGTGCCTAATACATATGTTTGCTGAGGTTATAGATGCAAGCTGGTCTTGTGAATATGGCAGGACAAGTGGCTTTTTCAAGAACCACACATGCTTTTATTGCCTTCTATCCCAATGAGTTAGAGCAGTAATTTGTAATGAAGGAGCATCAACTGAATGGAAAATCCATATCAAAGCGCATGTTCTACTTTTATGTCAGTAAACTTGAAGTTCTTTCCTGAGGAATGAGAAGTGGAAGCTAAATTTTATGGGTTCAAAGGGAAAGTAGAAATTTCAGATGTCTTGGCCACAGCCTCTGTGAACATGTTTACAGAGCTAGACAGGAGATGTAGGTAAGGAAGTAACCTGTAGAAGAAAGA